TCAATTGTGTGGATCATGACAAGCTATGAACAACATTGCAAAGTATGAGTGTGCCTGAACACTTAATTGTGCTCATGAGGAATCTGTACCTGGACCAAGAGGGAGTTGTTGAAACAGAACATGGGAACACTGAATGGTTTAATATTAAAAAAGGTGTGTGACAAGGTTGCATTCTTTCACCATACTTATTCAACCTGTATGCTGAGCAAATAATCCGGGAAGCTGGGTTATGTAAAGAAAAACATGGCATCAGGATTGTAGGAAGACTCATTAACAACTTGCCATATGCGGATGATACAACCTTGCTTGCTGAAAGTGAAGAGGACTTAAAACATTTACTGATGAAGATCAAAGAACACAGCCTTCGGTATGGATTACATCTCAATGTAAAGAAAAGAAAAATCCTCACCACTGGACCAATAAACAATATTCTTATCAACGGAGAAAAGATTGAAGTTGTCAAGGACTTCATTCTTCTTGGATCAACTGTCAACACTCATGGAGGAGCAGTCAAGAAATTAAACGACGTATTGCATTAAGTAAGTCTGCTGCACAAGCCCTTTTTAAAGTGTTGAAGAGCAAAGATGTCAGCTTGAGGACTAAGGTGTGCCTGACCCAAGCCATGGTATTTTCAATAACCTCATATGCATGCAAAAGCTGGACAGTGAATAAGGAAGACCATAGAAGAATTGATACTTTTGAGTTATGATGTTGGAGGAGGATATTGAAAGTGCCATGCTAAAAGAACCAATAGATCTGTTTTGGAAGAAGGTGCAGCCAGAGTGTTCCTTGGAGGCCAAGATGGCCAAACTTCGTCTCTCATACTTCATACATATTGTCAGGAGGGCCCAGTCATCGGAGAAGGAAAGGATATCATGTTTGGTAAGGTGGAGGGTCAGAGAAAAAGAGGAAGACCCCTAACGAGATGGTTTGGCCAAGTGGCAGCATCGATGGACTCAAGCGTGTCAATGGTAGTGAGGTTGGCCCAGGATCAGGCAGTGTTTTGTTCTGCTGTGCATAAGGTTGCTATGGGTTGGTACCAACTCGATGGCACCTAACAACAACAACAATGAGTTTTCCATCTTGACAGCACTAAACAACAACAATACCTAGAATTGTGTTTGGTTTTGAATGTATGATAATGATGCACATTTGAATCTTCAAAGTACATTTACTCTGTAGCCTTCTTGTTCAGTGTCTTCAAGTCAGTTCTGATTTACAATGACCCTCTGTGGAGTTTCTGAGGAGCAACTGTTGGGCTTGAACTATCAACCTTATAGTTTGCAGTCCAGTGCTTATCGTATGTTACTACAATCTGGATCAAATTCATCTTTAGTGTCTTCTTGAGAGTCTCCGCTAGTTATATCTCTTTACCCTGACTCCTAGGTTGCTTTCTTGCTTTCTGTCTGGAAGTTACCTATTCTATTAGCAGTAATCATTTGCTACTGTGCTTTGACAAATAAGGATTAAGCCAGTGTTCAACCACATGCCTCCTTTCCTCTTAGGGCCACCTCACTATATTACTCCATTGCCTAATGTTGTTCAGTACTGTGGAGTTGTTTTTGACTCATAGTGACCCTGCACAGGGTTTCCGAGGTTGTAAATCTTTACGGGAGCAGAATGCCTCATCTTTCTCCCGCAGAACAGCTGGTAGTTTCGAACTGCTGACCTTGAGGTTGGTGTCCCAACTCGTAGTAGTGAATAATCAGGTGTGCCTTTTGAATCCAAAAATAAAAGTTGGTATTTTGTAGGTAACATTTTCTTTCCAAACATCAACGAATGACTCATAAACCAGTTGACTACTGTGAAACCACCCACCATGAACTTTATGGCATCTGCCCTTCTGTTCATAGAAAGCAAAGGTTTGAATCTGCGGAGCCTCAGTATGGCCTGTGGTCCAGGGCCATTGTACAAAGCCTGTGTCAAACAGAGCCCACAAGAAAGATGCTGCCTTTTTAGTTCTTCATTAATTTGATGAAAATTAATGATGACAATCCAAGTCATTTATTTTAGTACATTGACCAAAATGTCTTGACATAGGTCAGTAACCTGGTTGTGTTTATAGGATAGGATTTAAACTAGCATTTTGAGGGATTAATGAGTTCCTTATTGATTATAAAAATCCGTTTTCTTCCTTGTAACCCAGAGTTTGTTATGAAACCATTAGGTTTGAGAGGTCAGATAATAGCGTTCAGTGTTGCACTGATGTCCTCCCTCGTACCTCGTTTGGCCCTTGGTAATGCTTCTTTTGATAGCATCAGACTGAGTGCCTCGTAAATCACGAGTCCTGTCCAGAAGTTAATACTGCTGCTGGGGGACTTAAGCAGAGTCCACCCAAGACTCACACATTCATATAAGTTAGCATCCTGCCCCATTACTATCAGTTTTTTTTCCAGTGTTTCAAGCAGCGTCATAAACAGCAGCCCATTTCACAATGTGTTAATAACACAATATGTGTTAATAAATTAATAGATGCTCTTAAGAAGGATCACCTTTCTGAAATGATAGGATATTTGCAATCACATGATAAGTGAGGATAGTTTCAAGTAGAAAAAATTCAGGAAGCATGTTATTTCTTTCATACATGTGAGTCATCTGTGAAAATGTCATCTGTGGTCTTTTCATCCTAAGAATTACAGCAATAAAAAAGTAATTCCAAATGTTTATTTAGTAAAACTCTTAAATATTTGAAAGCAACAGCTGTGGTATTTAAGTTTTGCATTTGGTGAGTTTTTAAAGAAATGACAACTGTATGTTGAACTTGTTTGTTTCCTTTTGGAATTTGAAAGTATGGAGGTTTGGGTTGGGAGGATGGGGGAGTTAGCATCAAAAGGAAGTCTTTGACAAGCAATAAGTACTATTTAATTTAAAATCTGTAAATGGCATATGGCTTTCTCTGATTACTGCATTCCTCTCCCCACCTTCAAAGAAAAGGAATAACTTCTTCCTCTGTCTTCCCACCGCATGTTATAAGTCCCTTCCTAAAGCACTTCTCTTGTGTGAACATTAGTTGTGCATGCGTTTTTATCCCTTCTAAGTCCTCCACAGCTTGTGAGCAGATACTGTGAGATTCACCCATGCATTACTCCTAGTATAGAGTGACTGGCACACAGTGAAACCCCAGTCATGTTTGTCAAAGCAAATAGAATGAATACTTTTATTTCATTTTAGCATAGAAAAGCCCCATCATCCCTTCAAGTCCTCTGAAGTTCTGCACTCTCTGTACGTTAGGTGTAATGTGGTATCAAAAAGAGAACACACCATCTGCCATGGAAGAGCGGTGGACTTGTCTATGTAGTCATTGGGTCGAATTGTGAGCAGTAATGTCTCTTGGTTTCTTTTCTTTTCTCTTGTATTCATACATCCCACTGTGGGGTCTTTTGTGACATGTTTAAAGTTACGTGTTAATTTTCCTTTTCTGTTTTAGTAGCCCGTTCTATTTTCAGTCATATATTGAATATACTTTATGTTTTATCTCTTTCTGATGTATTTTGATTTGTTTTGGTTCTTTCTACTTCATCTTGTTTATATTGCCCAACATTGACGGTGAATTCTTAGGACAGAAGTGTCCAGAGGAAGTTAATCAGCATCCCAACTCCACTCAGAGTAGAATCTGTGTAGTGCTGTAGTGTAGGTGTTAATGCAGAATTTATTGCAGTTTGGGGAGGAGGATGGGGAGAAATAGTGAATGCTATTTTGTTCTTTGTTCCTATGAATAGGGAAGTTCAGATCATTATTCTGCATTCCCAGTCATTAATATTGCATGAACTCTGATTGTGCTGTAAGTCAAGTGGGGCTCTTTACTTCAAGGTTGGTGGTTCAAACCTATCAGCTGCTCTGCAGGAGAAAGATGAGACTTCCTGCTCAAACAAAGATTTGAAGCCTCCAAAACCCAAAGGAGAAGTTCTCTTCTACCCTGTCGGGTGGCTCTGATTGGAATCCACTTAATGGCAGTGGGTTTGGGTGTGGTTTTTAAGTACTGTTTTAGGACTTTAAAAATTAAACAAGAAATTGCAACAAATTAAAATAGCATTTCAGTGACTTTTCAACATCTGTGTCTTTATGGTTGTGTTGATTATGTGTGTAGTGAAGTGGAGACTTGAGGCTGCTGTCTCATTATCTATTCCTTGCCATGTTCCTTGAAATAGCATGGTAATGGAAAGAATATTACACACGTTTTTTTTTTTAATTACTCTTTTTTGTCTGCTTGTGTATGCAGACTTAGTAAAGGAGTTGAAAACAAAAAGATTTGTTTAAAATATTAGAGATGAGATTAGGACATATTTAATACATCGTACGGCGTATTTGCTGGATTCATCTTCTAAAATATTCCTGGAAATGTGGCTAAAGGGAAGAGTGAAAGTGTCTCTTGGGTTAAATTTTAAAACCATGAGGTCATTTTCTAAAGCTGTCCTTTTTTGTCATATTTTGTTAGCTATTCGGGAGTGATTTTGGAATTTTGGAGGAAAGTTTTAAAGTTTGGGTTGCTCAAAATATTTCAGCTTTCTATGGGGGTCCTCTTTTATACCTCTTCTTAGTAACTCACCGCTGCTGCACAATAATAATGGCTTATGGAAATATTAATAATAAAAACGTTTTTACTTTGAAATGATGAGGCTGTGGTCTTAATCTACAAATTAAAGGGTGTGTGCTGATTTATTGTAATTCCATAGCTGTAACTTACAGCCGGGACTTTGCTGTGCCATACTGACTTGTCACTTCATGAGACTTATAATCACCTCCAGTTCATGCTGCACACCCAGGGGAGACTCAGTAAGTGAGTTGCCGCTGCTTCCTAAAAAAACAAACAAACAGAAACTACGAAAGCCGGGACTCGACATTAGTGTGTTCTGGTTGAGTCTTTCCACATCAGCTCCTGCTTCATTTATGATGTCTATCTTCAGGAGTTCACCAAAGTTCATAAAAGCAAAATATACTTTCAGGAGCTGCTTCAGAATGTTCTGATGTGCTGCTAATAACTCTGTTTTCTTTTATGACAGAGGGTGGTGAAGGCCGATATTGTAAACTACAACCAGGAACCCATGTCAAGAACTGTTAACCCTCCTCGGAGCTCCATGTGTGCAGTCCAGTGAGCGCCCGCCGCCTCCCTGCCTGGCGTGGTGTTATCAGTGACCATCTCTGTTGTGCAATTAACGCTTTCCTCCCCGTTTGCTCCGTCAGTAAGTGTTGCCTCCCGGGACTGTAAAGCCTATTCCCTGGAATTAGACTGCTTCCCTGAGAAAGAATGAAGTTGGTTCTCTTGATGGCTTCACTTTTTTCTTTTTGCCTTGATGTGACTTTTTCAACCACATAGGAAAACCACCCAAGTCTCTATTGTCCAGCCTGAGATTTGCCATTGCATAGCTTCCTTCTCCTGTCTGAGCTCAAACTTGGCAAGGTAGACTTCAGAGAACAAACATGTCAACAAGTTGTGCATTTGACCTACAGACACTGCAGAGGACATTCTTTTGCTTTCTATAGTGAGTGAAAATATATAAAGCTGTATTTCACTGAAAATGCTTGAAATAAAGCTGTAATAGAAATATTTTTTCCATTTTTTTTAAAGGCTCTAAATTATTTATATTTACTAGCTTATAACTCACAAAGTAGTGAGTAATTGATATTGTATTTTTCTTACTCTATCATGGTCATTATGTATTGTGTGATAGTCGGGTTAGATGGCTTCCTAAATTTTGATCAATGTTTGCCTGATGCTGCAGGTGGGATTTCTCCTGCAGGCAGCGGAAGAGTCTCCCAGGATGCATTACGGCATATCGGTGGATCACTGTGGATCAGACTGTACCTGACGGTCACATATTTCTCGCTCACAAATAAATTTATTTAAATTACCTTTTCTTCAGACTTTTCTTTTAGCCATCCTCCTTTTAGTCATAAAAAGTCGATGGATACAACCTGAATGATTCTGTGGAGGATATATAATCCTTCAAAGTTGTTGGGTTATTTGGTTGGTTAGATAAAAATCCAGACTTCAGAGCTTGGCACCAGGAGTAAGGGGGATAAATGAGATCCCTGCCCTCAAGGACCCTATAATCTTAATAGGAGCCATACTTGTGTGACTGAGCTTTAGGAAGCATGAGAGATTGAAACTGGCTATTCTATTTTTGCTATATATATTATTTTTATGTCTGTGTGACAATATAAGCATTTTCAGAGGTTTTCTTTTTTTTTCCATCCCTCATTCCGATTACTACAGGACTAAAAGGTTTGATTGAACATATATGGGATTGTACAAACTTAAGTGCTCCAGGTTTTGAAGTGTCAGAATGGTGAGAGGTCTGCGATCAAGCCAAGGTCCTTCTATTGTGTGTTTACAGTTAGAGCACTGAATGGGTCTGTGCAAGGCCTTTGTAGGTTTATTCTGTTCTTCACATTCCTAGGTACTTGTCACATGATGCCCTGCCATTTTTATGCCCATCTGTGAGTGGGCTATCTTTGTCCTCATTGTACATGTCAGGAAATGGAAGCTGAGGATGAGTAAGCGATTCCACACGGTGCCTTCTCAAGTAAGCATCAGGCCAGAAGATCCAGCCCACATGTTTCGGAGATAAGATAGAGTATACAGGTTCTGGACCACCTTCTGTTCGAGACAGTCACACAACTGGCCTCTTTTCTGGACTTTCAGTAGGCATGAGTTTCAGTTCTTTTGAGAAGCTGTGATGGAGCCATGCTGAGCCACCACTAAGAGGCCAGTGTGATAGTCGGGTTGCCCTCTGATCATGGAGTTGACAGGAATTGGACCCCCTGCCTTTGGTCTCATGGGTTTCCTGCCTCTCGCAGCTAAACGTGACCAGCCATCAAGAGCCTTTGGACTCGAGGGAAACAGTGAACGTGCAAACCCAGAGTCTGAGCAGTCAGCGCCGCTGGCCGAGTTCCACATTACCATCACCCCCAGACCTTGGGTTTTATTTTTGCAGCAAAAGCCTAGCACGCATGCTTATTTTACTTTGAATATTACCTCTCCTGTCTCCAGTTTTTAATTTGAAAAATTACAAGTCTTTTTTGGTCTAGTTTTAGGCACTTCGTCTCTCCTGAAGACACATGCTATAAAGTTTCAAACACACTGTGGTCACTTTTGCTGCTTATTGAACTTTTGAAAAACACAAAAGTTTTCAACCAGAACTGGTCGTTGGACTCTGCCTTCCTAGTGCACCCTTTATTTTGTGCGGCAGACCGCTCTGGAGTGGTTTTTGGAGTGGCCCGAAGAGCTTCTGTGAGTACTGTATTATTCCAGGGGGAGGTGAGGCAGGGCTCTCAAAAGCCCATCACTGAAACAATGTGATGGAGCATAATCATTTGTGTGGTGTTTAAAAATAGAACTGGCCATAACCCGTACTAGTAATTGCTGTAATGTTGGATATCCGGAGAAACAGTTGCAAGATTCAAAGGAAACCGAGATGCAGACATTGGGCATTATGGTAGACGGCTGTCAGCTGCCTCCCCAGCATCCGTTTCGCCACTTCTCCCAACAAAACCCACACTTTTCCTGGCTTCCTGCTGGAGCCTTCTCTCCTGTCAGCCACTCACAGCCTAGGAGTGGACCCTCGTTGGCTTAAACTGATCAATAAACGAATGGACTTCAAAAACTAAAATTAAAAGCTATGGACATTTTCCCACAAACTTTCTGAATCCCCCTTGTATTAATCTGTGCCCTGGTCTCAGTAATTGGCTCAGAAGTGAATGGATGATTCCATCAGAGCTAAGGAGATACTTACTGAAGCTTCTGAAAAAGTAAAGAGCTTCCCTCCCTGACATGTCCAGAAAATTCCCCTTTCCCACTAGACGTGAACAAGTAAGTCATAGCTCTGAGCCATCTTAAGGCCAAAAAGAGCGGGCCTACCAAGGACCAGAAAACCCACTGCTATCACGTCAATTCCAACTTAGTGACTCCGTACAGGGATTCTGAGACTGCCAATACTTAAGAGAGAGTAAGTCTACACGGTCTCATCAGGGCTCCTGTCAACATCAAGGAAACATAAGTGAAAAGTGTCTACAGTATGAGTCCCTGTCACTGTGAGCCCTCGATTAAGCCAAACTGTCTTTGTTTTTACTTTATTTTGTTAACTTCTTACATGAGCATCAAATTTGTATCCTGCTCTTAGCTTGGCACCAAACACAGAGAACATGATCTATCCATTGTCCTCAAGATCTTTGTACAGGTTCAAGTGTAACGAATGAAGTTGCAGACTGCTAAATGCTTCAGTACAACTACATTACAGCATAAGGTGTAGTTTAGCAGCAAGTGTGAAACTGAGGATTTCAGACAACAGGAAACTCAGGTGCAATCTCTTGTTAAGTTCTTCTTGTGAGTAGGTTCTGACTCAGACACCCTGTGGGGTGGTGCTATAGGATAAGCACTGGACCACAAGGTCAGTTTGAACTGCAAGGTCAGCAGTTTAAACCCACCAGCTGCTCCTTGGAAACCCTACACAGGGTTGCTATGAGTCAGAACTGACTCAATGGCACTTAACAACAGTAACATAGGATTTCTAAGAAGTGGCTGGTGGTTTAAACCTCCAATCTTATGGTTAGCAGTCCATTGCTTATCCTGCAGTGCCGCATCTGGACTCCAGGTTGTAACCTAATTGCCCTTAAAATTGAATGCAATTTTAGGCTGCATTTGCTGAAAAAGAGTGTTCTCTTGAGTTGGTTAGAGTAGTGCTGTACACACTTTCAGGGTGCATAGAAGTCACATGGGGCATCTTGGTTCAGTAGATCTGGGGCTGGAGGTGGGACAAGCTCCCTAGTGATGTTAAAGCTGCTGACTTGTGGATCACTTTGAATGGCAAGGGGTTGGATTTTGGTGCAGGATATGGTGCAGGATATGGATACCCTCTTTAAGAAGACGACGGCACATTCGGATTATGGTGAGGAGATTCAATGTCAAATAAAATGGGTGCACAAAGGCAGTATGTTTGAAACGGAAAAGAGAAGGTCTTAGGGAGGAGTTGACGGCGGTCTTCAAATAGGTGAAAGGCATTGCTTTAGAAAAAGATTACACTTGTACTGTATGGCCTGTAGGACCCAGAATAGGACAGGTAGGTAGAAACTATAGGAAGATTTCAATCCAGTTTAACATGTGCCCACAGATGGAAGAGATTGGTGTCGTTCCATACCGCAGGGTTAGCAGCTCATATGCACGCGGGCTAGGTAGATAAATGAGCACCTGAACAACAGTGAAGAAGGTAAGACCATATCGAGTGGAGGTGACTCATAAGCAGGAGAGCATGTGCCATGGCTAAAGCTGTTCCAATCCAGTCGTTAAAATGTTACATCGGCCACATGGACAGGGTCCCTGCTAGCCCAGACAGAACTTTGTGTCCATTTACAAAGGTGTTCCTTTCTCAGGTAACTTGCCTCTTTTTACAAGTCATACTGGCTTTGTTAGGACAAGGCACTTCCTGTCCTCTTCTGGAAGATAAATCTCCAAAAGCCATCACTCTGTCCCTGCAGTGACTTCCTTCCGCTCTTGGGTCATCTGATCGCTGCCCTTGTGGCTAGCCTTAGTTGCTGGCTGTAAAACTGATCAAACTATTTTAGAAATGGTTTGTCACCCTTTTTCAGTGACAAAAGCTACAGCGCTCAGGCCAGGCTCTAAGGATTTGTGGTACACAACCACAGCAACTGCCCACACAGAGCTCCAGCCTAGAGGAGGAGGCTGACTAGGTAGCAAGAAGATGCTAGGTAATGTAATAGGAGACAGAGCATCCATGATGAACTGTGTGCAGGGAGCTCAGAACAGGGTGGGTTCCATCTCAGAAAATGTGAGGAGGGTGGTCTGAATAGATAGAACTGCCTTGAGAGAGACACCCCCCTACTCCAACCCTGGCAAGAGAACCCTTCAGTAGAGCTGGTTCCTTTGATTTGAGCTCAGAACTGCTACAGTCCATTTGTCTAGCCCATAATTGCATTCATTTTCCACATGGGAGAGCTATAAAGAAGAGGAAAGGCAGACCATTTGGTTTTCAAGTTCTGCTTCCAAGTTGTATTGAGTATTCCTAGAAAGCTCTGGTAGCGTAGTGGTTACAAATCGGGTTGCTAACCTCAAAGTCAGCAGTTTGAAACTACCAGCTGT